TCTGCCCCCGCTCCGCCCCCCGCACCCCGCGTCCCCTGCTCCCGGCCCCGCCCGCGATCGCAGCCGTCTTAAAAACATCTTTTTAATCCTTCAGGGCCCAGGACGAGCCCAGGCTCCGGCGCAGCCGCCCTGGCCTTGCGAGGGCCGCGACAGGAGCCGCGTCCCGGAGGCGGCGACCCGCAGGGGCCTGCACCGCCTGCCCGGCCCGGGCCTCTCGGCCACTCGGAGGCTTGCACCCGACCCTTCTCCTGATTTCTGCCTGGGCCTGCCCGGTGTCGGCATCACAGGTGCTCAGTGCTCCAGACCCCTTCTCACGCCCCCGCAGTCTCCGCCTTCGGCCGACCTCGGGCCAACATGGTCCAACCCCAGACATCAAAAGCTGAAACCCCAGCCCCCGCGGCTTCTGCCAGTGCCCAAATGGATGACGTGATCGACACCCTGACCTCCCTGCGCCTCACCAACTCGGCGCTGAGGCGGGAGGCCTCCACGCTGCGGGCGGAGAAGGCCAACCTCACCAACATGCTGGAGAGCGTGATGGCCGAGCTGACCCTGCTGCGCACCAGGGCTCGGATTCCGGGGGCGCTGCAGATCACCCCGCCCATCTCGGCCATTACCTCCAGTGGGACCCGACCGATGACCACGCCTCCGACCTCTCTGCCCGAACCGTTTTCCGGGGACCCGGGCCAGCTGGCGGGGTTCTTGATGCAGATGGACAGGTTCATGATCTTCCAGGCCTCCCGCTTCCCCGGGGAGGCCGAGCGAGTGGCGTTCCTTGTGTCCCGGCTGACTGGGGAGGCGGAGAAGTGGGCCATCCCGCACATGCAACCCGACAGCCCGTTGCGCAACAACTACCAGGGGTTCCTGGCAGAGTTGCGGCGAACCTACAAGTCCCCGCTCAGGCACGCACGGCGCGCCCAGATCAGGAAGACTTCCGCCTCGAATCGGGCTGTGCGGGAGCGGCAGATGCTGTGCCGTCAGCTGGCCGCCGCGGGCACCGGGCCCTGCCCTGTGCACCCAGCCTCCAACGGGACCAGTCCGGCTCCGGCCCTGCCCACCCGGGCACGGAACCTTTGAGAATCGGCCGCCACCCTGGTCGCCTCTGCAGCCACCCAGGTAGCATCCACCCGCTGCTGCGTAGAGGAAAAGTTGGAACGACAGCATAGCATCGCCCTCGTTTGAGGACGTCGCTTCCTGCTCCTCCAGACCTGTTCCATGAAGGAGGAGATCTTCCTTCATGGCTCTTGGGCGCTCTGTCATCCACCTTGCTTGCTAGTGTCACGTGCTAGCTTTGTACCTGCACCTCAGCGCATGTCTCCCCTCTCTTGCCTGCAACCCCAGCTCTTCTCGTGACCACAGCTCTGCTGCGCGGTCGCAGCGACTCCACAGCACCCTGCGGACTGTTTGGGCTGACCCCTCCCAGCCTGACCAGGTTCATGGAGACCCCTACTCCACCCACCCTCTGCAGGCCCCCACCGCGGCTCCCCGCCTGCTGCCCTGTTCTCACTCGTGACAGAAAGGAGCCACTTTGGCCAGGCTGGTGGCTTATGTGGGTACCTGGAGAGGGGTCTGGCTTCCTGCCCATAGGTGATCACCAGCCCTGCCAGGGCCCAGTGTGGCAGGCAGGGGCCTCGTCCCTGCTGTCCGTGGCCAAGTGACCACTGTTGGGAGAATAGTTCCAGCATTCGAGGGGCAGGCTTTGCTCTGCACATGAGCACGCAGTCGTCATGCCCATTGTTGTGCTGGGAAAGACTGATATTTCAGCTAAAGGGAGAAGCCCCCAGAGGATGCACCTCCTTTAGTGCCTGGCTTTAGCTGCCAGTGTTCTGATAGCGCCAGGAACTTAGAGAATCTGGAGCTTGCCTGTTAAAGAAGGTCATTGTGACTTTGGACCCCTGGGCAGTTCCATCCCGGCCCCACAGGCAGCACATTCGTGCACATCCCTGCCTAAGACCCACTGCAGGCTGAGGGCTGGGTGCCAGCGGCTGGCTTTGCTGCCCTGGGCCTCCAGTGAGACTCACCGCCAGCTGCTAGTGTGCAGTCACCCCTCGTCTTTGTCCCACGTCACTTGGTGGTGGGCCTTGTCTAGCTCGAGACTCATTCCCTTCTCCATTCAGGTGACATGTGGCCTTTACCTCTGCCATTTTAGCCACCCCCACCATCTGTCAGTCTCCAGAGCCTCCGTGTAGCCTGCCCTCCCTGTTCCTGGGCTGTCCATCACATGTCCAGTCTTTGTGCAGGAAAACATGGACTCTCATAGCTGGAGTCCGGCTTCTCTGGGGTGCAGCATTAGCGCTTAAGGCAGGGGGGTATCTGCCTCTGACAGCCCCAGCCAGGGCCTTGGTGGCATTTGTAAAGGAAAAGAGCTGCAGACTACCTCGGTCCTGATGTGGTGACAGTGCAGAACTGGCACTTGTGTCTTAATTCTGAGGGGCAAAGCTGTACCTCTTAGTGGTGGATGGCCTTGTGCTTCCTCCTGGGGGACGCCCAGAAATCACTTTCTGAATGAGACTTGGCCACGCCCTTTGGAGTGTGCTGTCCCCCCATATGTCAATGCCAGGTGAACCGCATGTCTATGACCACCTGGGCCACGGGGGAGATGGGCTGTCTTACCCTGGTTCGTCTGCCCCTGTTCTGAATGGTCCTGGCTTGACTGCAGAAGGACAGCGTCAGCACCCACCCAGAGACCTGTGTCTTGGGATGCCCGGAGGTTGGGGCCTAGGGCCCGTCCTCTCTTCCTCAGAGTTTTGATGATGCTGGGAGGTGACTGCGTTCTGAAGCAGCTGCTGCCTTGCAGAGTCAAGGCTGTTCCGTGGTTGCTGGGGTTCCTGGACCACTGCCACCCACTCGTGGTAAACTCTGTTCGCCCAATCGCCCTGCCAAACAACTGCCTGAGTACAGGCTTCACGCCCCCTGGATTCCAGCCAAGGCTGTTCAGGTGGGACCATGGTGCTCATCAAGTGTGAATGGGGGAGGACACAGTGGGGCCACCGTACTGGGGGTGGGGCCTCTGATGGAGGTGTGCAGATCAGTTTCTCTTGTGCTCAGTTCTCTCCTGTCTGCCTGCCAGGCAGAGGTGCCCACAGATGAAGGGGTACTGTGGCAGCTGGGGAGAAAGAGGCCTGCAGGGGGTAACAGACACCTTGAAGGTTTCCACGTGGCGCGGCCCAGCCAGGGTAGGAGACCCAGCCTGGGAGCAGGGCGGGAACTCGGCCATCTCACCAACCCCTGGGTCGACCCAAGTGGTGTCTAGAAGTCCTGCTGTGTTTGCGTTTGGCGCTGTTTTCAGTTGCGTTGCTCGTACCAGGGCCGGAGCCACCATAGGCCGAGGCTGGCCGTGCGGCCTGTGCACGCCGGTGAGCCCGCCCTTTGCCTATGGCTGTGCCTGGCCCAGGCTGCTGCTCCCGCTTCGTCTGTCTCGCCGCTTTGGTGGTTTCCCCTGGTGGTGCTTGGTGTCTGTGGGCTAGGGACGGGTGCTCTTGTCCTGCGACCTTGACGGCTTCCTGCGACCTTGGAAACGGGAGCGCGGGAGAGAGGCTCGGGGGAAGCTCCACGTTGGGAGCCCGCTGTGGCTCTGGGGGAAGACGCCCTGGTCCCCAGCTAAAGAGAAGACCCAGGCTCCAGGCAGCCTGGAGCCGGACCACGTGACTGGGAGGCTCAAGCTGAGGGCGGAAGTGGGGTGGGGAGCTGCTTTGTACACATTTGGGGGTATGATTTCTCTAAATCTACGAGGTACTGCTTTATAAGGGGACAGGCGGTTAGTGCGAAACAGTCAGTGCGTGTGAGGGACGGCTTTGTGTTTCTCCTGGTGTTGAGGATATTTGGACTATCTTGTGACTGCTTTTGGTCTATGTGACGCTCCATCGGTAGGTAAGCTTCATTGCATAACAGGGTGTCGCTGAGATGGGGTTCAGAATAAGGGATGCTGCTTGGCCTAACAGACAGTGTGACCTTGGCATTAACTTAATGTCCTAAAGCATGTCAGTGACTTCTAGGAAAAAGCAAAGACGCATTTCGTTGGTCACAGGTGAGTATGTGATGAGTCAGTAATGGCGAGGCGTGCAGAATACCCCGTGCGGGTGCAGGTGAGCCTTTCCTGATGCACGAGCTGCTGTTGTCAGGGGCACAGGACCCCCCCCCCGCCCCCCCTGGAGACCATGATCTGGGCAGCTAGGCCCATAGGAGAATGGACACGTGTGGGGAGAGTTGGGTGTGGACTTAGGTTACCCTAAGGGAGCAAGCCATGCGCTGGGACCACTGTGGGAAGCGGAGCTCGGTGTGGGAAGAGGGGGAGATCCTTGCAGAGGTCCCTTCCATCTTGCAGCCGGCGCTGTAAGACTGAGATCGCCTCTGCTCGGGAAGCATTAGATCAGGGGCTCAGAGATGAAGACTCAGATGAGGCTCCGGGAAGGAGGCATAGGGCAGATTGTTGGGCCGACAGCAGAAGCTTGCAGCGTAGGGAGAAGGTTGGGGTTTAGGGCAGGTCCATCACACTGAGCATGAACAGAGCTGTGGTCTCCCGTGTCACCCCTCGGGTCCTAACACGGGGTGTGGTGGTGGTTGGCACAGCACAGACACAGTGCGGAGGATGGGAGGGACCCCAGCTCATAACTCCTTTCCATAAACAAGTGACAACCTACTAGGTCTTTTCATTATCAAAGCAAAGCTACACGTTATAGAAATTTTGGAAAATGAAGAAAGAGAAAAAAGTAAAATTTTAACGTTTTGGTGTCTCTCCTTATAGGCTCCCCCATCATGGTTTCTCTGCGTTTTGGTTTAGCATAGTTGTGATACTACCTTCTGTAGCTTAGATCCCGGGCGTCCCCTGTGTTATTACTAATTTCCTTTCGGAATGGCCGGGTGCTCCCCCATGAGTAGTGCCGATGGTTGGTCACCAGTGCTGTTACCAGTTTCTCACTGTGAGAAATGGACGAATATCTTCGTGCATAAAGCTTTTTCCCAATGTCAGGTTTTATTTCCTTAGGATAGATTCCCAGAGGTGGGATGATGGAATTAAGGAATATGAAAACCTTTGAGGCTCTTATTACAGATTGACAAAATGGTTTCCAGAAATGTTTGTATCCGTTTCCACTGCCACCAGCAAGGATAAATGTGGCCATTTTGCCATCTTGCCAGCACTGAGTATTATCATCTGGCTAAATATTTGCTGATCTGATAATGAAAAACTAGTGTTGTGTTTTAGTTTGCATTTCTTTGGTTTCTAGCAAAGTTGGACATCTTTTCGTGTTAAGCAGGTGTATTTCCTCTTTTGTGGATGGTCTGTGTCCTTTGCTCTTATCTACTGGGGTCTGATAAATTTGTATGAGCTCGTTATATATTAAAGATGTTAACCTGTTGTGTGTCATGTTTGCTGCACGTGTTTTCAGCTTTTTACTTTTTTATGTGTGTTTTAACTTATTGAAATTTTGACTTATACATAGCCGATCCATTCCCCACGGGGCACTGTGCCCACCGGGCTGTAACACAAGGCAGGCACATCAACTCTGTCCCTTCTGTTCACGGCTGTGTCGTTGTACCTGTGACAGTGCCTGGCACACAGCAGGCACCCAGTAAGCCTCTGTCGGGTTGTTGCATGAACAGATGTGCTGGTGCCGGGGCCCCCGATGGGTGGAGCAGGCTCTGCTAAACTGCTTATGGACCGGGAGCCGCCCTCAAGCCTTTCGGTCTAAGAATCCCTCCACACCTCTGTTAAAAATCATTGAGGACCCCAAAGAGCTTTTGCGTATGTAGGTTTTATCAATATTTACCATATTATAAATTAAAATGGAGAATGTTTTAAAATATTAATTATTTTGAAAATAAACTCATTACACGTCAACATAAATAGCATATTTTAATGAAAACTCAGTTTTCCAAAACAAAAAATTTAGTGAGAAAAGTGCTGGTGTTTAACATTTTTGCAAATTTATTGTCTAGTTTAACAGAAAACAGCTGGAGTCTTGCACCTGCTTCTGCACTTAATCTTTTGCAAGATCACACGTCATGCGGCCTCTGGAAAATTCCACTGTACACTCATGAGATAGACTGGAAAAGGCTCAGAATATTTTATCACAAAAACAATCACGTATTGTTATGTAATAATTATTACGCAGCGTTATTATGAAAACGATTTTACCTCTCAGACCCCTGGAGGGTCTTGCCTCACTTTGAGAACTGCTGTCTGAGAACAGACAAGAATAGGCAGTCCTGCAAACATCTCCATCTGGTCCTTTGTGGTTTCTGTCATTGCTTTAGACTTAAGGTCTTTTTTTCCCTCTAGAATTAATCAACAGTTATTTCTGGAATTAATTTGGCATGTAGTGTGAGGTGAGGCTCTAAATTGACTTTTTTCTAAATATTTAAACAAATATCCTGAGATCAGACATGGAATTCTTTCTCTCCCTCGTTGATGTGTTGTTTCCTTTATCACACTTGAAAATCTATCGTAGGGCCAACGTTTCTCTTATCTGTTGATCCATTTACTTTCCCCAGTACCTCCCTTTTTTTTAACAATTGTGGTTTTATAATTTGTATTCATATCTAGGGGCTCTCCTCTGTCAGATTTTCTTACCTGTTTCCACCAGATGAACTTAAAAAAATTAATTCTAAGGTTTTCCTGAAATCCCAGTAACAGGTGCAGTGCTGGGAAAAACCTAACTGCTCTGGCGACTTGTGTGCAGGGTGGAGCCCTGTAGGTTGGGGCGGCCCCAAC